AGGGGGCACCCCCCCCCCCCCCCCGTAGTTCTCCTTACTAACCTCCTGCTGTGACCCAAAACTCAGTATATAGCGGGCTATTGCCTTCCGTATGTTGAGCGCCGCAGACAGGATTGATACCGACAATACTGGCGAGATCAACCCCGCTGGCTGATTGACACCGAGCTCTGCCTTTCTAGAGGCAGAGCCAGTTATACCCACCACCTCTCCCACCCCTCCCTGCAGTCAGAGGTAGAGAAATGGAGAGGGGGGAATCCCCCAAGCGAGCGACTATATGTGTTCGCTCACATCCCGGTCAATAGAGCCATCGTGTGACAGTTTCAATGTCACACGTTCGCTCTAACTATGGGGATGAATGTAATTCACTCACCCCATAGTTCTCCTTTAAATAGCAACACTTCTTAAAGCATGCTTGAAACACAACTTGGGGAATCCCACACATATAAAAACTATGTGTTAAACAAGGACTATTGGGAGAGTAAAATGTACTCTTCCCAATAGTTTGAGCCGGTATGGGACACAAAAAAAAAAGCTGGGCTCTGGGGCGGCCACATCCCCATCTAGGGCAACTCAGTTAGTTACAAAGCAGTAGAACTAAGGCACAAATAGATCCAAAGAAGGTAGGGTGCCGTGTCCTTCAATGAACACAGAGAAATAGACCCTTACTCCTTGACACTAGGCAAAAAAACTGAGCTGTCCTGGATGGGGGTCTGGCAACCAGCATGGGCTGCCTAGCGTCCTACTCCTACAAGTGGCGGTATAACCCATCGGTAAAGGGATTAAGATCTCCGCTGTGTCCCTCAATGAATGTAAGAGGAAAAGGGTCTGGTTATAGTTCTTTTTTAAATATGCAAAACATTTTCCTAATAATCAGGGTACATAACATTTTACTGTGTCTTTATAAAAGGTTTTAACTGGTATTCAAGTATAACCAATTTCAAGAACAGAAAAGTATCATATTGCAGTTTACAAGTTCTTAGATGTGGTGGCTGCATTTGTTTTCTTTATTCAGACGTATTACATTTTCTGCAAATATATATAAAATAAGAAGGTTTGGATCTCACCAGAAATCCAGTGTCCTTCTGATTTCCTATGCAAGGAACACAAACAATGTTATCAACCTTCCCAGCTATCTTCTGTGAGCTGCAGAACACCCTCCCCCTATGTGACGGAGATGAGAGGGGGATGTGTTTGTAGTCCAAATCAGGATAGCAGCCTAAAGGTGACAATGCTACTCCTCCATAGATACAGTACAGAGAGGGAGTGTTGTTGCACTAGAACAGGGAGTGTGTTATTGGCACCACCACTAGGTGAAAACAGAGGAAAAAAGCTTGAAAAAAATGAAAGCGAATGCAAGCACATCAGGACTGGGTTGGGAAGCTGTAATAGATTACATTTTTGTTTTCGGTTTAGATAATAGAAGTAAACCAAAGATTAAAGCAAATAACGATGCAATTCAAAAAGGGCATATTTAACTGTACTGCATGAATAGCCCAACACCGTTATCTATTCACCTTATCAAAAACACACACTGCTTCCCAATTCAATCCTTTGGGTGAGCTGCATTCCAGCCTTCCTGCAGAATATGGCACATGGGTAGCAATGAATGGAGCCATAGTGTACTTGCACACAAAGGAGGCATTGGGGATGTTTTTGGGAGAAAAGCTGTATGGCACCGGGCAAGTCTGCACAGTGAAGAAAACTGGGATCGGGATGAAGGTAGGTATTTAACATGGTACTCTGCACTCAGGGGAGTGGGTGGACTTTTTTAAAGGGCAAGTGCACTAAAAGGGAACTTGTCCTTTAAATACATAAAAGGCAGTATAGGGCTCCACGTCCCAGGTGGGTTTTTTCTTTTAGTCCCGTGTGGTCCAGTGCATCTGTATGCGTTTCCATGCGTTCCAGACCAGAGAAAATGAGAAAAGCAGTATTTTTTCTGTTTGGTCTAGAACAGACTGCGCTGGTGTAAACAGAGCCCAGAAATACCATAGGGATACTTTTTTTGGTCCGGGAACAAACTGGTTCTGGTCTGGACATGGTGTGAACAAGCCCTTAAGTTGGATAATAAAGAAAAATATATTTTTAAAAAACTATATCATGTTACAGTGTGTACCTCTATTGTGTGATCCAATGTCAATTGACACAAAGTGACTCCTGACATTACCCGACCATGTGGGAGTATTGTGTATCCTATAGAACGGAATAGCAGTTGATATAACTGATCACTTTACAATGGCCTCAATAATTTCTGGGTTAGCAAAAGCAATTCTCAGGCATTCAGCAGCATGTCCAAGAACTCTCCAGAGTAGGAAACCAGTTAAAAGCCCACAGAGTGACAGATTACTGCAATGTATTTTATTGATCTGTACTTGCTGGTAAATAAATATGTCTAACGAGAGAAAATGATTCCAACAGTCAAGAAGTATTTGTTGTGATGCTTAAATGGAGGTATACAAAATCCAGCCTTATAACAGAAGGTCTGTCTATGGGGGTTGTTACTGCCACTGATGCACAACACATATATTCATATCAATAAACCACACAGTTGTATTTCCAAAACCGTGAAAGGTTAAGATGTGCACATTTCCCATTGGATTTCTGGACCTTCTCTTGTAAGCCTGTCATGGCTCCATGTATCGCCAGTGTTCATGGGCTTTTGTTTGCTACGGATCTACTTCTCTCCCCATACAAGTCTATGAGAGTGCAAAAGCAGGTCTGTGCAAAAACTGCACCTGCATTGAATTCTGAATAATCTTAGAAATGTCTCAAACTGATGTCAAAGCAAGCTGAATTTTCCCATTGAAGCCAGCTGACATAGACCCTTACAGTAATAATGCAGAGTCATCAGCTAAACATAGGTCAGACTTAAGGTGCCCATACACTGTGCGATTATCGCACGATAATCGCAGGAAATCCCGCGATCGTACGATAATCGCCAAGTGTATGGAAGGCGTGTGACCATTTTTACTGTACGGTCGCATGTCTTTTGTCTTAGGAGCATGCTAGAAAACCAGCCGAGAATCATACGATTTTCGGCTGGTTTTTAGCATGATCGTAAGATCAATGCCACACAGGCCGGTGTGCGCATGCGCACACTGCCCGTTCAGCATTGCGGTCATCGCAAGTACGATCTGCCTGTCCATGATGGGCAGATCGTACGTTTTTTTAATTACTTTACAACCATGGCAGGACTAAGGTCTTGCCATGGTTGTAAAGTGTATGGCCACCTTTACAGATACCATCTGAAGCTTCAATCCTGGGACCCAGAATTCAAAATTTCCTGCTACATAAGTAATGGCTAAAGTGAAAGTAGAATAACTAGCCTGCTTAAGAACAATCTTCTTGTCCATCGAACCCTTTAAAATGCCTATAACCTCAAAACAATGGTCTATATTTTTGGAGGCCTACATCTGGAGAGCATCCAGATGTAGGCACTTATTTGAAACTTGAGTGGCATCCTCATCAAAGGGGAACCAGCGCTCCAGGTTAATAGAGAAAAAAGCCTTCTCTCTGGACAATGTTTATAATTATAAATCTCTCAGGATAGGCCCACTCCTTGACTATAAACAATTTGTGGATTTGAAAAGACCCTGGTCTTTTTGTAGGCCCTTTGAATTTGATTGTGCAAAGCAAACTGAACTTCTTCCTCCTGAATATCTAAGGACTCATAGATGGCCTTAAGCAGGTCATCAACATCCTCCTGAGAAAGCTTAAATCTAGAAACTCTAGAGGAATCTTTCCCCTACTGGTCCACCAGACAAATCTGGCTGGGAAAGAATGGGGCCACCGGAATCCCCAGCACGATGACTAGGGATGCACCGATACCGGTATTTTGGTACCGAGTATTTTGTTTCTGAACTCGCCGATACCAATTACCAGAAGTCCCATTCAGGAAGCCAGGTGGCATTTAATGACTCCCCACCTGGCTTCCCGATTAGCCGGGCAGTGGGTAAAGACTCGCCACGCGGCTTCCCGATTAACAAGAAAGCCGTCCCATACGATCAGTGCGGATCTCTGTCCCCCCTGACCTCGGTATGTCCAGCCTGTCAAGCCCGGGGCCTCTCCAGCCAGGAGCGGCCTTCCTCCGGTACCCAGCCGGAGCCATGTTGCTGGCCAATCATGGAAGCCGAGCGCTATGTAATGACGCGGCGCCCTGCTTTCTGATTGGCCGGCTCCATGCTCCCCCATCATGAGATGACGAGGGAGCATGAAGTCGGCTTCCCGAAACAATCAGAATGCCGGGCGATGCGTCATTACACGCTGCCCGGCTTCCTGATTGGCCGTGAAGTCGGCTCCATGCTCTCTCATCACAAGGGACGAGAGAGCATGGAGCCGCTTCCCTGCCAATCAGGAAACCGGACAGCGCGTAATGACGCGCTGCCCGGTTTCCTGATACAGGAAGTATCGGGCTAGGCATCAGAGCAAATACTCGGTATCGGCACCGATATCGATACTAGTATCGGTGCAGCCCTAATGATGACCCCTCTGCGAACCCCCCCCCCCCATAAAGCTGACAAAACAGGAATGTGGGGACTATGGCATAGGAAGATGTTGAGCAGGGGGGCCAAGAGAAGATTGAAAGGTGGACACTCACTCCTCCTTTGGAGATGGGAGGAAGGTGTTACACGCATCAGCAGATTCCTCCTTAAGCACATCACCAATACAAGGGTAGCATAGAGGTTTAGCCCAGGTGCTTCCCAACTTGAAACCACAAATCTTTTAGGGATAGTTCCCCTTGCCTTCTTAGGGACCTTCGCCTAAGGATCACCATACACATTACAATCAACTTTAGATTTACCAAAACGTTGTAATATGAAGGACCTATCTAAACTATCCAATCGGTATCCAATCAGGCAGGCCCTTCTACTATATAGTTGTTGGTCGATCTAAAGGAGATTGTACAATCAGATTTTAACATGTGTAACTTAAAGGGAACCAGCAGTGAAGGAATCAAATATGTGCCTAATTCACTCCATGAAATAAGGAGAGGGAGATGTGACAATTTGAGACGAGGCTGGGCATGGTGCAAACTGTTAGCCCAAGTACGTTCAAAACTGTGACCGCCACCCACTCCTCCTGACCCAATCTGTGGCAGCAGTTGCGACAGGGGGATTCCCACCCCCTTTGTGACGTAAAGCTGAAGGTCAGGGGGGGGGGGGAGCGCCTCCCTACAACTGATTGGGATGGGAAGAGGGGATGGCAGCCAGAGTTTTGAGTGGGCTTGGGCAAACTTAGGCAAACTGGGTTCACACCAAGCCCAGCCTCACCACTAGTGACAGCTACGCTGTCAGCTTCACTCTGCACAGATATGTCCCAGCCTGGGGATCAACAATCTAAACACTAGCCACCTCCACAATGTGTTCTAACATCATTCACAGCATCCACTACTGCATGCCTGACCTTTAAAAAAAAAACTTGCTGCCTTGCTCAGACAGGAATGTAACAGACCCATGGCAGCTTCTGGCAAAGTTCTTCATTGCTAGTTACAAAATTCAGCAGAATGATTTCTAAATATTGTTCTACTGAAAAGAAACCTTTGCAGGAAATATTTACAGAAAAGGTAATACAAGACAGACATCAGCAACAATTAAAGGCAAAGTTATCCTTAAGAGAAGAACTGCAGGCAATCAAAAAATGAACCCTTGCAGTGGGGCTACCCCCACACCATAAGGGCTGAGTGCTTGTTTTGGTCTAGGGGGTTAAATAAATACAATATACTCACTGATATACTCACTGATCCTTGGTCTCCCTTGGCTGCTAGACTGGTCCCCAGTGGTCTAGGACCCGTTCACATAATCACATTCACCTGCATTAGGTGTGAGGACGCTGAGGGACATAACACAGCCAGTGCAGAGTGGGAGAGAGGTAAGCCCTAGATAAGATCAAGTGAGCATATTTCTTGTATTCTGGCCCCTAGACTAGACCCAAACAAGCAGTTAACCCTTGCAGTGTTGGGGTATCTCCACTGCAAGGGTTCATTTCATAAATACCTAGAGTTCTAAGAGTTCTGTAATTGCCTTACATTTCTGGATCATGAAGAAAGCTTGAAAGGAGTCAGCATGACAGCCAGGCAATTCGCATTTTCAGGAGAAAAGCCCTGTTCGTGTCTCCTTTTTTTATGAAATACACCTTGTAAGCTCCCTTCGCGGGTAACGTAATAGAAGCAATACAGAATTGTACACAATCCCTCCAAGCTCTTACTCAGGCCTCTTATATAAAGTACAGCCCGGACACCCAGCTTACCTCTACCTCACATACACGCTTTCCTTTCTCCGAACTCCCCGCCTACTCAACATCTTCCGCTTCACAGCCAATCAGTGGCCTCCCCTCTTACACAGCCGCACATCCTCCCTGCGGCCTAGGGCAGGCCCGGCTGCTACCATGGTAATGAACGCCATGCTGAGATGGGAAAGGGGAGGCCCTGGCATCCGGACAAGCCAGCACTTCCGGGAGGAGGGATGTGGGTTGGGGACTGGGGGAGGGGCTCCGGGTGTAGGTCCGGGGACAGCGACAGGTACAGCAAGGAAGGTGGCCAAGCTTCTATGTGTAATGCTGACATGTAAACGCCACATTGCAGGTATGTGGATCAAATCACCCCCCGATCATGTGTCTTCATGTTCTGTATACATGAAAAATTGGAATTCATATTACAGTTCATAGGGAGCTGTTTATGCCTGAAGGCTGGCCACACTTGTATTTGTCGCTCGATGGTGCTGGTGTCGGGGTGAGTTACAGGCAGGACAATGTCATTTGGAGCAGCAGGATGTTGTAAGATGACTGTTGTTAGAATAAGCCTTCATTGATCATATCTGTAAAGTCTTGGTGATAAATGATGCATTAGCTAGAAGCTAGATCTGGAATGTGTTTGTACAACCCTTTGACAGCTATATAGATCGTGTAAATAAGCCCTCAGGGTCCTATAAATTGCCTATAGGAGCAGTCAGTCGGGTTTTGTCCTGTATCTGGATGCACTTGAAATCCTGCCTTGACACATGTTTTCCTCATAGTCCGGATCTTCCTGCATCAAGGAAGTTCTGTGTCTTTGGGACAGGTGTGTGATGACTGTACCTGTGTACATGTGGAATGCAAGTCTAGAAAACTGAAACTTTTCTAGGTTTCAGATGATGAGGTCCTGCAAGACACACTCTTTCTCAATGCCTACTCTTGTAAAAAAAAAAGGTGGTGACTTGTGTTTACTTTCCTCTGTTACAGAATTCAGGACTTTCTCCAGGGAGGGCAGAAGTGGAATACTGCTCAAGAAGGCAAAAGAGCATCTGGAAACAGCCCTCGCCTGCCAAATCCTCTCCAGGGGATAGTTATGGTGCAGCTACCTCTGCTGGAGCTCTGTATCTGAGGCCATCCGTGCTGACATGTTTTGGGTTAGTGTGTACTGTCACTGATATTGTCACTTACTGCTTGCTCCATGATCTAATAACCTTGTGGGTGTTTGCTTATAAAACATTGTTTCTCCTAAAAGTATTGCTACATTTTAAGAAAGTTTTCATTGCTTTGGGACAGGGTTCAGCAACCTCCAGCATGTGTCCCAGGGTGGGTACACGATGCATTCTCCGCTGGCATATGAATGCATTGGCTGTAACTGACAGTTCCCTAGGCTCCCAGTTACAAACCTGGCCCACCCACCTCCTTGACATCAGTGAAAAGTGTTGGCAACTAGGGACGCCACTACACTGAGCTAAGGTAGCCAGCCAGTCGTGCTGATGAAGCCATCTTCCTGTAACACATTCCTTGCTTTACCGATATCTTGGCTTTCACTAGCTGCTGTACCACAGACACATAGGAGTCTGTGGGGGGAATTTATCAAAACTGGAGTAGACCGAATCTAGAGCAGTTGCCCATGGCAACCAATCATCTTCTCTCTTCAGTTTGTCCAGTTAAGGTTAGAAAATGAAAGAGAGAAGCTGATTGGTTGCTATGCACAGTTGCTCCAGATTTTGTCTGCTCCAGTTTTGATAAATTGTTTCTTGGTTCTCTTTCTTTCTTGCAATGAGAGATATGCGCTGGTTTGTGAGTGAGGGGATGGTAGATGAGGATTTTTACACACAGGCGACAGCTCACCCACCCTGGTAAGAATCCCGCAGTATAATGACACATGGTACCTAGAGATCAGCTCATACACAGGGCATATTGCTGGTTGTCATCAGGCAGTGGGAAAACAGATCATAACAGATGATATCAAGTACGCCAGCCAAACTGCCCTTAAAATTTTATAAATTTGCTAGGATCTTAGAAAAAAAATATAATCTTATCAGGATGGTGGCTTTATATACCAAACATACAACTTCTGGGCTGGATTAAATGCGTGCCTATTGGGGCTGATCTGAGGACTGAAGTACATGCACACATTGGGGCTTATCTGAGGGTACAGAAAGTGGGGCTGATCTGGGGTCTGAAGGTGCAGAAAGTGGGGCTGATCTGAGGTCTGAAGGTGCAGAAAGTGGGGCTGTTTTGAGGTCTGAAGGTAAAGAAATCGGGGCTGATCTGAGGTCTGAAGGTAAAGAAACTGGGACTGATCTGAGGTCTGAATGTAAAGAAATTGGGGCTGATCTAATGTCTGATGGTAACGAAACTGGGGCTGGTTTGATAAATTGGGGCTGATCTGAGGCCTGAAGGTGCAGATCCTGGGGCTGATCTGAGGCCTGAAGGTGCAGAAATTGGGGTTGATCTGATGAAGGTGCAGAAATTGGGGCTGATCTGAGGTCTGAAGGGGCAGAAATTGGGGTTGATCTGAGGTCTGAAGGGGCAGAAATTGGGGTTGATCTGAGGTCTGAAGGTGCAGAATTAGGGCTAATCTGAGGTCTGAAGGTGCTGAATTGGGGTTGATCTGAGGTCTGAAGGTGTAGAAATTGGAGTTCATCTGAGGTCTGAAGGTACTGAATTGGGGTTGATCTGAGGTCTGAAGGTGTAGTAATTGGAGTAGATCTGAGGTCTGAGGGTGCTGAATTGGGGTTGATCTGAGGTCTGAAGGTGCAGAATAGGGGCTAATCTGAGGTTTGAAGGTGCAAAAATTGAGGCTGATCTCAAATGTTTATGTGATGTTGTAGGCCTGTGTACAATGTGTAAAGAGCGTAATTTGCCATTAGCAGCACAACTATGAGTGCAAAACCTAAAAAATGACTACGAGCATGAGGTGCTATTGTTTACTGATAAGCCGGTTGTCTGATGCCTGTAAAAATGGCACTTGATGTGGAAAAGGACACTGACTCCTGTTTTGTGTTATTTCCCCCTGTCACGGCAGAGAGCCGTGACAGGATCGAGAGGTGAGGGAACCCGGTATGTGTTCCCTCACCTCCCGATCTACTGAGCCGACCTGTGACAGTCTCATTGTCACAGGTCGGCTTAGAACTATGAGGTGAGTGGAAATCACTCATCTCATAGTTCTCCTTTAAAGCTATCTTATCTTTAGTCTTTTTTCTTATTATGGTCAATTGCCCTCTTTTTTTTTTGCAGTGTAACTCAGTGCAACACAGAACAACTGAATCGCACTGTGTTGTACCCATAAAACTTAATGAAATGTCACTTGTGACATTTGTTGGTTTGCAAATGCTCCCGTTTACTTAACACGAAGTCACGTAGGAAAGAAAATGTGGATACCGTGTGTAAACAAGAAAGGAGGTGGAAACTCAGTGTTCCACACACTGAACCTAAACACGAAAATCCACTCTTTGCTTTTGAGAAGTTTGTACACAAGTAAACTAGCTTCAGACTCTGTCCAGGATCTGACTTGATAATCATCTAATAATTTCTAAGGCAGTTGAACCTTGAGTATGGAGTGTTGTGTTTGATGTGATATTAGTATTAGGTTTGACAGTCTGTGTAATAGGTGTCTGTACAGATGGCTTTGTGGCATTTGATATCATTTGTGACAGTGTTTCTGGAAAGGACATCCCCCAATCCCCTTATCTTCGCATTACCTGTGCTTCCTCTCAGCTCCTTACTCCTGTACAACTGGCGCTGGCATTGGCTGTGTTGGTGACCCAGGGGCACAGTGACATAACGCCCCATGTCATCTGAAAGTTCCAAATAGCTGCTAGGTAGGTCCAGAAACAACAGGGTCACGTGCTACTCTTTATCTGCCAAGTATTCTTGCCAAAGCTGAGAGGCAGTGCCAGTAAGATGAGGATATACTGTAGATGTTGTGGGTATACTGTCACCTTGTAATGCATTGTCTGGGGCAGGAAGTAAAAGAAAATTCCCTCATGGTGCACAAACAGCAAAAATAAACTAGCAGGGTTTTAATCCTTTCTGACACGTTCCAAAACTAAAAAAGTGTTTTGACTATGCATACCCTTTTACTTTTTGCCAGGCAATGACGAAATCCACTCCCTGCAGTGTTTCTGTTGGAATATGGAATCCAGGCTGGAATACTAGATTGATGTCCCAGCTTTAGATTGGTGACTTCTAGGAGGAAATATTCTTGCTGGCTTGTCTAGATGTTTTAAAGGAGAACTATGAGATGAGTGATTTCCACTCACCTCAAAGTTCTAAGCTGACCTGTAACAATGAGACTGTCACAGGTCGGCTCAGTAGATCGGGAGGTGAGGGAACACATACCGGGTTCCCTCACCTCTCGATCCTGTCACGGCTCTCTGCCGTGACAGGGGGAGGGGCTGGATTCTAGAGCTGCGGCTAACGATTATTTTCAAAATCGATTAGTTAGTCGATTATTGAGTTCGATTAATCGGTTAATCGGATAAAAAAAAACATTTTAAAAAATGGCTCCAGTGATGAGCTACTAGTTTGTATTGAGATTGTAGTCCACCACGGGAGCAAACTTGGAGTGGTGATAGTAAATAAGAAAAGAAAAAAAAGTGTGGTGTGCAATATAGTGAAATGAAAAGTGTAAAACTATATAGCAATGAATGCAGAATGGCAATGGCTATAGAGGACTACAAATCCCAGCAATAGTACATTATACAGCACAATA